TAGAGAACTACCCCGAGTATTATCATAGATCCTTTCTTTGGCAATTTCCTGCTTAAAAGTTCGATAGATCTCTAGTGCGGACTTCTTAATCATGCCGATTCTCCACATGTCAGTCTCCGTTTCCTTCACTTTCTTCTTAACCTATAGTTCTCTTTGGTTTGGCCACCTGCTGTTTTCTAAGTATTTACCAGTCAATTTCCTGATTCGCTTCCTACATTTTGTATCGACATTCTTCATGTACAAGTAGCTGAAAACCTTCCTAGCCCAACGCTCCTCCCCTATTTCTCTCAATCACTTCTCAAATTTTATCTTGCTGCTAGCTTCCCTGCCCTCAAATGATGTCCACCCCATATCACCTTGTACTCCCTGATTTGGTGTATTCCCGTGAGCTCCTAAAGCAAGCCTACCTATTCCACGTTGCCTAATTTCTAATCTTGCTTGAACTTCTGACCTCATGCACAAGACTGCATTGCCCAATGCCAGCCCAGAAACCATGACCCCTTTCCATATTCCTCTCACAACATCATACCTATTGTAATTCCACAGTGCCCAATTTTTCATCACTGCTGCATTCCTGTTACCTTTAGTCGTGACGTATATTTCGTGCTCTCTTAGGTACTCGGTTCCATTGCTTATCCATTCGCCCAGATATTTGTATTCACCTGTTATCTCTAGCGTGACTTCCCGTATTCTAAGCTCACTACCTTCGTTATCATTAAAAATCATGACTGCTGATTTTTCCTTACTGAATCTAAAATCTAACCTATCTCCCTCATTACCGCAGATGTCCATCAATCTCTGCAAATCTTCCTTGTTGTTGGCCATTAGCACTATATCATCTGCGTACATTAATGCTGATAGTGCCTGATCAATTAGTTTTCCTTGTTTGACTAAAGAGAGGTTGAAGCCAAGTCCACTTCCCTCTAATTTGGCCTCTAGTCCTTGTAGGTACATCATGAATAACAAGGGTGACAGTGAACATCCCTGCCTAAGTCCCCGTTTCGCCTCTGTGGGCTTGGATACCTGTTTTTCTCACTTTATAACCACCTTGTTACATTTATAGATTTCCTTTAAAAGATTAGTGAATCCATCCTCCACACCTAGTGTGTCCAGTATTCCGCACAAGTCCTCTTGAACCACGCTATCGTACACTCCCTTGATATCCAAAAATGCTAGCCACAGGGGCCTGAGTTCTTTTCTGCTATTTCGATTCACTGCGTCAGTGAGAACAGATTGTCTACAATAAACCACAGCGCCCTCTGTTGCTTATAAGTTGAAGGTTACATGCAAAACGGTTACCACCAACGCCCTCTGTAGCTTATAAGTTGAAGGTTACGTGGAAAATAGTTCAGAAATGTCAGACAGATGAAGACGTGTTATGGACAGACGGGAGACGGCGGACATCGTGAGGTCTTAAGAAGCTTCGTCCGTAAAAAGTGCCACTTTGGCGAGCGACAGACATTGGTGTTGGGACATCTGGTTGACAAAAATGGCATTAGACCTGACCCACAAAAGACAGCGGCCGTTGAATCGTTTGAGCCTCCTAAATCTGTGAAACAACTGCGTAGCTTCATTGGGCTGTGCTCTTATTTTCGCCGGTCCATACACAGGTTTGCGGATGTCGTTCACCCTCTGACGAGCCTTCTAGGCAAGAACATCCCGTTTCAGTGGACCTCCGAGTATGATGCCGCTTTTCACCAGCTGAAGTGTTTGTTAACATTGCACCCAATACTTCGGCACTTCAATCCTTCGTCCCCCACGGAAATTCACACAGACGCAAGTGGCATCGGTATCGGTGCCGTTCTCATTCAGCGTTCTCGCAAGAAGGAACACCTTGTGACGTAGGTAAGTCGTTCTTTAAGCAAGCCTGAACGCAACTACACAGTGACCGAACAGGAATGCCTAGCAGTAGTATTTGACGTACAACGGTTTCGCTCATACATCTATGGTCACTGGTTCACTATCGTCACAGATCACCATTCCCTGTGTTGGCTGGTCAAACTTCGTGAGCCACTCGGCCGCCTCGTACGATGGGCCATTCGTTTGCAAGAATATGTCTTCACTATTTCATGCAAGACTGGCCGTCTACACGCTGATGCGGATTGCCTCTCCAGGACGTCGCTGCCGACGACAGATTGTGAAGCCGATAACTTTGACCACCTTATCGCTTCTCTGTCGTAGGGCTTTCCCGATGCCGTGTCTTTCGCCGCTGAGCAGCGTAATGACCCAAACTTGAAAGCTCTCTTCCCTGGAGCAAGAAAGTGATTAAGGGAAGGCCGATTCTGAGTCCGAAATGGTCTTCTTTACCAGAGAAACTTGTCAACGATGGGCGCCCGCTTTCTGCTAGTAGTTCCTGCGTCCCTCCAAACGTCTGCTCTGCGTCTCACGCATGATGACCCCGCCTCTGGCCATCTAGGAACTGCACGAACATTTAGTCGCACAAAAAAAGCAGTTCTATTGGCCGAAAATGAGCAAGACAATTCAAAACAACATGGCCAGCTGTACGCAGTGTCAGAGCCACAAGCGGCCCACCTCGGGTCCAGTTGGTAACCTGCATCCCGTAAAGCCTCCCGGTTCCCTTTTGAAAAGGTAGGCATTGATCTGATGAGACCATTGCCACGCTCCTCAAAAGGTAACCGGTGGATAATTGTATGTGCCGACTACCTGACGCGGTACTGCGAGACGGCTGCCTTATCCTCCGCCACGGCAGTCCAGGTTTCTGAGTTCCTGTTGCATTCAGTCATCCTCCGACACGGGCCACCTCGCGTGATAATAAGTGACCGTGGACGACAATGCCTCGCCCAGAGGGCTTCATCTGAGACAGGAGAAATGATACGAAGTGTCACTACTAGAAAAAACAAGGGAAGCGTGGGTAGAAAAGGAATACGACGTTGCTTTCACTGCATTTCCCCTGAGTGGGTACAAGCCATGGCGGTGGAATGGTGATCATCTTCATACTGCGATCACGGACTCGGTGCGCATTAAAACCCCACCCCTTAGGTTACCTTACCATATGTAACAAGATATATATATATATATATATATATATATATTTATATATATATAGATAGATAGACAGAGAGACAGAGAAAGTTGCAGCAAGGAAGTAACGCTGGCCCCGGTAGAAAGAATATGAAAAAATAGAGTACGACACACGTTGGTTTTGCACGGTATATTCTTACTGTCGTTTCGGCTGGTGGACCAGCCTTTGTCAAAGTAACAAGTACATGTCAACGCGCTTGCTTATAAATACGATTCACATGGGATAATTAAGATCGGCGACGTATATCAGTGATTAGACAATTCATAGCGTGAAGTGTTCATGACTGTACAGTTAGAGATCATGCAAAAACATAAATATATGTACATATATAAAAATGTAGAACACCAAAGAACAGAAATCACTTCTTCGTGCCCACAGCATAACTCTGTAAGAACCGAAGATAGATACTGATAAAGCAACAATGAAAGCATGGATATCAAAATACCAAAAATCCATATGATATTACAGTCAGACTGCGCGTTATATACACAGCTCAGTCATTGTGGTCTGAATAAGATGAGTAGTTGATGCTTTTATAGCGCGTGCGCGTTCAGTGCCAAAGGTTCTTTCTATATTCAAACGCCACCACAACATCCTTACCCAAAGTGAGCATCTGAAAAATATCTTTCCTGAACCACCTCGCGTAGTTTATCGGCGCTCTAAGAATCTCCGCGATAGGCTAACATAGTCAAAATTAAACGAACCCACAACATCTGGCTGTGCACCTTGCAACAAACCACGCTGCAAGGTTTGCCTACATATGCAAACCACCCAGGAAGCCATTAGTACGTCGTCTAATTTCACCCTTAAAATTCGCGGCCCCTTAAATTCCGATAGCTCTAACCTCACATACATGCTCGAGTGCGCCGTCTGCAAAGAACAGTATATTGGCCATACAGAAACATCGTTCCGAATACGCTTCAACAACCATAAATCACATACCAATACGCAACCTAACCTCCCGCTCTCAAAACATATTCGCTTACCAGGGCACTCGTTCGAAAAAATTAGGGTCACTATACTTGAATTGGTCTTTCATTCTCACCACGATCGGGAAATCCGCGAATCGTACCTCATCAACAAATTCAACACCATGTCATCAGGCATAAACGAAAGTACAGGCACGCTTTCTAGTGTGCCCACCAAGCATTATCAGCCTTAACCCATGGCCCGTAGCATGGTCGGTTAAGTTTGTTGGGTGACGTCTCCAATGCTTCTGTTATTGTGTATATTTGTGTATCCAATGTTTACAGTCACTTGAGATTATTAATCACCGCCGCTATCACGAATGTGGATGCAAGACTGTATTTGAACGTGCAATAAAAGTATCAACTACTCATCTTATTCATATCACAATGACTGAGCTGTGTATATGACGCGCAATCTGACAGTAATATCATGCGGTTTTTTTTATATTTTGATATCCATGCTTTCATTGTTGCTTTATCATTATCTATCTCCGGTTCTTAAAAGTTATGCTGTGTGCACGAAGAAGTGATTTCTGTTTTTTGGTGTTCTACATTTTTATATATGTATATATATTTATGTTTTTGCATGATCTCTATCTGTACAGTCATGAACACTTCACGCTATGAATTGTATAATCGCTGATATACGTCGCCGATCTTTATTATTGTTGTGAATCGTATTTATAAGCAAGCGCTTGACCTGTACTCGTTACTTTGACAAAGGCTGGTCCACCAGCCGAAACGTCAGTCATATACCGTGCAAAACCAACGTGCGTCGTACTCTACTTTTTTGTCCACATATATATATATATATATATATATATATATATATATATATATATATATATATATATATATATATGTATATATAAACGATGGACCTGCTGTACTAGCCCGGGAGAAGTCTGCCAGCCGAAATTCGCAATTCGCAAGCGATACGAAAGTGACCGCGCTGCAAATGACGAAGGGAAATTTCACTTTGTTCTCACCTGGGCGATGTTCAGTTGCTGATAACGGCCTGAAAGCCCATCCACGCCCAGAACATGAAGAACATCGCCACTGGCACCGTAAGAGGAAGCAACAGAGAGTAGTAGAGAATGCCCTCCTCCATGAGAACTGCTCCTGGCAAGCTACTTCAGTTGAGCGCGCCAAGCAGAATGCGTGGTTGCCAAATGACGCACGTTCACTACACGATCACAAATCAAACATAAGCGGACAGGGCGAAACCCTCCGCTACGCAGTCTCTTTTTATGCCTGCCCGAACGCCACCACAGAACACCTACCAGACGCCACGGTGTGATCACGGTCCTCTGAATATTGCATTCCGGCTATTCTCCCCAGGTCGCAGCAGCGGCGGCCTAATTCCAATGAGGGCACTAAGGTCCCTAGACAAAACAACTTGTTTCATCCATAGAGTTTCTTACAATACTTTCTAGAGAGAACTCTGGCGCTAGTCTCTGAGGGAGCTGCAACGCATATCGCCAAAGCCTCCTCTAAACAATGCCTGGGGAATGGCTTGCGCTCCCAGCGGAGTTGGCCTGCCTTCAGTTTTGAACAAGCGCCGCGCGATGGCGCTCGCGACCGATACTATTCAGTTCATGCTGTTACTTTTCAGTTCAGTTCAGGCTGTCAAGGTGGATGGACGTGTTTTTTGAGCGCTCCGGATCGACTGCGCAGATAAGTGTTGTTGCATGTTTTGAGCTTGTCTCTATAATTATAAGGCAGCTGTTGAAATCTTCGTAGCACTTATTTTATGGTACGGCTTTTTCGGGGGCCAGTCACCAGGTATTTATTAGTTAGTGCGGGTGTGTGTGTGTTTGAATTTTTTTGTTGTTTTTTTTTTCTTTTGCCACCACGTTGGGGAGGTGCGCGTACATTGAACACGCAAATTTTTGTAGTAGAGCTTGGACTTTCTTTTTTTTTTTTTCGTAGTGCAGGGCTAGAGTTTAGTAATTATCGAGTATAGGGACAATTGGTAACAGAAAGGCATGGTTAAAAAGACTGTAAAGTGTTCAGGATGTGGAGTGGGTTTGAAAATGGACCCAAGCGTAGAAGCGGATGGAGAAGAGGCTGACGCGAAGTGTAGGCAATGTGAGGTCGAGGAAAAAATGGAGAAAATGATGGTTGCCCAGAGTGAACTGCTGATGAGAATCGCCAAACTCGAGACTGCGTTGGCGACAGAGCAAGAAAAAACGAGGGCAACGGGAGAAAGACTGAAGTCCGCCGAGGAAGTGCTAGCGAAGCTGAACAAAGAAGCGACCTACCGAGAGAACAGTAGGGAACCGGCACCCAGAACGGTGGAGAAGGAAAAGCAAGCAAGCTTGGAAAAAACAGGTTTAGCCGGTTCAACTGTCGCAAGGCCCAGCTTCAGCGAGGTAGTGGTGGGGCAGGAAGGGAACAAAAGAGCCGGCGTCACAGGTGCAAGTAGCCCCCAGGTGCAGAACGCTCCAGCGGAAAAGTCACAGCATGTGATAATCGCCGGGGACTCAAATTTAAATCGATGCACAGAAGCCATCAAAGAGAGGGTAAGAGGTGACAAGAGGGTTGCAGTAGGGGCGTTCCCAGGACGCAAGCTGGAAGCAGTCATGAAGCAAGCGAGCGCAAAGCTCAAAACGACAGCTGATAGACGCAACCTCGTGATAATTTCAGGCGGTTTAAACGATGTCCTAAATGAAGATGCAGCAGGACTAGCAGCCACACTGGCGAAAGGCGTCGATGACATGCGCGCCACTTCTCCTAAGGTGCAGGTAGTGATATGCACGATACCGGAGGTACCGGTGCGTGATAGCAACCTGCAAAGAGCGGTGGTCAACGCAAACAAAGAGATATGGCGGATGAGTCGAGAGAAAGGCTTTGAGGTGGTGGAAATAAACAGAGAGGTGCATAGGTGGGGGGGTTTTCAACGAGACAGAATTCACTTCGATGGGCGGCTAGGTCATGAGCTGGGTTGGCGACTTGCAGGACGCGCAGTAGCTTTTTTGGGGGGCAAGCGAGCCCTTCGGGGTGCAGGATAGCTAGTAACGAGGAAAACAACCAGGGAGACTCTTCGACAGGTGGTATGGACAGATACGATTCCAAAGTGGCACCAATATCTAAGATACGTAGAGTCCGGGGCATAAATAGACGTAGCCACGAGCGCCGAGCCAATTCAGACATAGGGTATATTAACATGCAGGGTGGTAGGAACAGGCTGAAGTGGGAAGAGATAGAAGAACAGCTAAGGGAAGAGAGGCCGATGGTATACGGTTTTGTAGAAACACATCTCAGGGACATGGAACAACCTCCGAACAATCCGGACTACGCGTGGGAGTATTGTAATAGAACAGAAGGCAGCAGAAAGGGGGGTGGTATTGGGGCATTCATTCATAAAAGTACAGACTGGCAAAGGGTCAAGCAGGAGTGCAAGCAACATTTATGGCTAAAAGGGAAAGTGGCAGATCAAATGACACTCCTTGGTTTCGTGTACCTGTGGACGGGAGCAAAGGCCAGAGAGGAAAACCAGGCAATGGTAGAGTGTATATCAAAGGACATTCAGGAGTTAGGAAGAGAGTGCGAGATAATTATACTAGGAGACATGAATGCGCAGATAGAAGATATAGATGGGTATACCGACCCGACAGGCAAAATGATCATGGATATGTGTGAAAGGCTTGATTTGATCATTTGCAACAGTACCGAGAAGTGTGAAGGGCAAATAACATGGGAGGTAGGAAGGCTTCAGTCGACGATAGATTATGCACTGATGTCACATAGGATGTATGATAAGCTCAGGGAAATGCACATAGATGAAGGTGGCTCCAGAAGTCTGGGTAGCGATCACAAACGTATCAAGCTAAGTTTTGGAAGAGCAGTGAAAGTGGGAAGAAGACAAGATGAGCAACTACAGGAAAATTTTTATCCAGAAAGGCAAATTGAAATAGCCACTAAACAAATTGAGAAAGTAATCACGGAGGATAATAAGACAGTGTGGACATACACGAATCTAATTAGACTCTTTGAGATAGAGCTTGCTAAGACGCGTGACAAGTCGCCCCGGAAAAGAAGACACAAACCCAAAAGTTGGTGGGATGAGGAAGTTAAGAGAGCCATAGCAAAACGTCAGGAAGCCTCTAGGGAACACAGACATGCTAAGCAGCGGGGTGAACCGACAGATGATGTGGAAAGAAAATGGGCAACCTTTCTAAGCTGTAGAAGGGATGCATCCCTTCTGATCAATGAAAAGATTAGAAGGAAGGGAGCTCAGTGGCTGGCAGAAGTACATAAAAAAGATAGAAAGGCAGCTGCGAAATTTTGGAACCATCTAAACTCCCTAAGAGATGAGACGAGCCTAGAGCAGAACTTTATAACTACAGCCCAAGGTGCTAGGCTAGAAGGGGACGAAGCTATTGAATATATAAGAACAAGGGTGACAGAAAAATTTCAACAAAGAAGTACTTTATGCACCACAATAGACAAAGACGAATCAAGTGGTGCAATGGCTCCATTTTCACAACAAGAGTGGGAAAGGGCTGAGAAAAGGGTTCCTAGTAGTACATCAACAGGCCCAGATGGCATTCCAATTAGGCTGATAAAAACATTAGGTCCGAAGTCTAAGCAGGCTTTGAGAGAGGCAGTGAGTACAATAATAATCGATGGTGAAGTTCCCGATGGATGGAAACTTAGCAGGATGAGCAGGATCTATAAAGGAAAGGGGGACAAAGCTGACATAAACAACTAGCGTCCTATAACAGTGACATCAGTGGTCTACAGGCTGGCGATGCAGATTATAAAGGAAAGACTGCTGGCGTGGATAGAGGATGAGGGGGTGCTGGGGGAACTGCAGAATGGGTTTCGGAAACACAGGAGGTTGGAAGACAATCTGTTCTCACTGACGCAGTGCATCGAAATAGCAGAAAAAGAACACAGGCCCCTGTGGCTAGCATTTTTGGATATCAAGGGAGCGTACGATAGAGTGGTTCAAGAGGAATTGTGGGGAATACTGGACACACTAGGCGTGGAACATGTAGTCACTAATCTTTTAAAGGGTGTCTATAAAGGTAACAAGGTAGTTATAAAGTGGGAAAAACAGGTATCCAAGCCTGCAGAGGTAAAACGGGGGCTTAGGCAGGGGTGCCCCCTGTCACCCTGATTATTCATGATGTACCTACAAGGATTAGAGGCAAAATTAGAGGGAAGTGGACTGGGCTTCAACCTCTTTTTAGTCAAACAAGGAAAACTTAATGATCAGGCACTACCAGCATTAATGTACGCAGATGATATAGTGCTAATGGCCAACAACAAGGAAGATTTGCAGAGATTGATGGACATCTGCGGTAATGAGGAGATAGGTTAGATTTTAGATTCAGTAAGGAAAAATCAGCAGTCATGATTTTCAATGACAACGAAGGTAGTGATCTTAGAATACAGAAGGTCACGCTAGAGATAACAGATAAATACAAATATCTGGGCGTATGGATAAGCAATGGGACCGAGTATCTGAGGGAACACAAAATATACGTGACGACTAAAGGTAACAGGAATGCAGCAGTCATGAAAAATAGGGCACTCTGGAATTACAATAGGTATGATGTTGTGAGAGGAATATGGAAAGGGGTCATGGTTCCTGGGCTGACGTTCGGCAATCCGGTCTTGTGCATGAGATCAGAAGTTCAAGCAAGATTAGAAATTAAGCAACGTGGAATAGGTAGGCTTGCTTTAGGAGCTCACGGGAATACACCAAATCAGGGAGTACAAGGTGATATGGGGTGGACATCATTTGAGGGCAGGGAAGCTAGCAGCAAGATAAAATTTGAGAAGTGATTGAGAGAAATAGGGGAGGAGCGTTGGGCTAGGAAGGTTTTCAGCTACTTGTACATGAAGAATGTCGATACAAAATGTAGGAAGCGAATCAGGAAATTGACTGGTAAATACTTAGAAAACAGCAGGTGGCCAAACCAAAGAGAACTATCGGTTAAGAAGAAAGTGAAGGAAACGGAGACTGACATGTGGAGACTGGGAATGATTGAGAAGTCCGCACTAGAGATCTATCGAACTTTTAAGCAGGAAATTGCCAAGGAAAGGATCTACGATAATACTCGGGGTAGTTCTCTACTGTTTGAGGCCAGGACGGGAGTACTGCGAACCAAGACATATCGGGCCAAATACGAAGGGGTAGACACAGTATGCAGTGCGTGTGGAGAGGAAGAAGAAACGGCCGAACACTTGATAATGTTCTGTAAAGGGCTTCACCCTATAGTTCAGGATGATGGCGCAGAGTTTTTCAAAGCACTGGGGTTTAGGGACCGGGAGGGCAAAATAAACTTTAAGCGGGTAGACTTAACTAGAAGGAGGTTATCTGATTGGTGGCTAAAGTCAAGGCACGAG